GACAGAGCTGGTGTAAATGAGTCAGATTTGTAGGCCTCCTTGCTCGCACACGATTTTCAGTTCTGCCCACAAATGTTCTATAGCATTGAGGTCAGGGCTTTGTGATGGCCACTCCAATACCTTGACTTTGTTGTCCTTAAGCCATTTTGACACAACTTTGGAAGTATGCTTGGGGTCATTGTCCATGTGGAAGACCATTTGCGACCAAGCTTTAACTTCCTGACTGATGTCTTGAGATGTTGCTTAAATATATCCACCTAATTTTCCTTCCTCATGATGCCATCTATTTTGTGAAGTGCACCAGTCCCTCCTGCAGCAAAGCACACCCACAGCATGATGCTGCCACCCCCGTGTTTCACGGTTGGAATGGTGTTCTTCAGCTTGCAAGAACCCCTTTTTCCTCCAAACATAACGATGGTCATAATGGCCAAACAGTTCTATTTTTGTTTCATCAGACCAGAGGACATTTCTCCAAAAAGTTCGATCTTTGTCCTCATGTGCAGTTGCAAACCGTAGTCTGTCTTTTTTATGGCGGTTTTGGAGCAGTGGCTTCTTCTTTGCTGAGCGGCCTTTCAGGTTATGTCGATATAGGACTCGTTTTACTGTGGATATAGATACTTTTGTACCTGTTTCCTCCAGCATCTTAACAAGGTCCTTTGCTGTTGTTCTGGGATTGATTTGCACTTTTCGCACCAAAGTACGTTCATCTCTAGGAGACAGAACGCGTCTCCTTCCTGAGCGGTATGACACTGCGTGGTTCCATGGTGTTTATACTTGTGAACTATTATTTGTACAGATGAATGTGGTACCTTCAGGCGTTTGGAAATTGCTCCCAATGATGAACCAGACATGTGGAGGTCTACAATAATTTTTCTGAGGTCTTGGCTGATTTCTTTTGATTTTCCCATGATGTCAAGCAAAGAGGCACTAAGTTTGAAGGTAGGCCTTGAAATACATTCACAGGTACACCTCCAATTGACTCAAAGTATATCAATTAGCCTATCAGAAGCTTCTAAAGCCATGACATCATTTTCTGGCACAGTCAACTTAGTGTATGTAAACTTCTGACCCACTAGAATTGTGATACAGTGAATTATAAGTGAAATTATCTGTCTGTAAACAATTGTTGGACAAATTACTTGTGTCATGCACAAAGTAGATGTCCTAACCGACTTGCCAAAACTATAGTTTGTTAACAAGAAATGTGTGGAGTTGTTGAAAAACCAGTTAAGCAGACATTTCAGTCATTTAGCAGACGCTCTTATCCAGAGCGACTTACAGGAGCAATTAGGGTTAAGTGCCTTGCTCAAGGACACATCGACAGAATTTTCACCTAGTCGGCTCGGGGATTAGAACCAGCGACCTTTCGGTTACTGGCACAACGCTCTTAACCACTAAGCTACCTGCCGCCAGACAGTTACATTGATGGAAGCTACAATCTATCTGCAATATTAAAGCTGGTCTACCCCCTTAAAGAAAAGATAGGGAGGGTGTTGAACCATCTGATTTGTTTAACAGACGTCTGGATACTGTGTATCAGGATTTTGTGGCCATTTACACAGATGGTTCAAAAGATCCAAGGACAGGACGTACTGGGTCAGCATTTGTAGTGCAGGAATGTGGGGTGGAAGTCAGGAAACGTATTACAGATCATCTGGCTGTATATACGGTGGAGCTGATGGCCATACTGTTGGCCTTGCAGTGGGTGGAAGAAGTCAAGCCAAACAGAGTAGTTATTTGCTCCGATTCATGTGCAGTGTTGATGAGTCTACAGTCATTTACCTCACGTAGCAGACAAGACCTGCTTTATGATGTACTACAACCCATGGCAGGATTAGACAGATGGAAATACAGATAAGATTTACTTGGGTCCCAGTCCATGTGGGGGTGGAGGGGAACGAGTCAGTTGATGTACTGGCTAAACAAGCACTTAGTAGTGGGCATGTTCATGTTGTAGTTTCAATGAGCAAGGCAGAGGCAAAAAGCCTGATATGGACAGTGATGGTGCAGCAATGTCAGGAGCAGTGGAATAGAGATACCAAGGGCAGGCATTTATTTCAAGTACAGAGGAAAGTCAGGGAGGGTAGGACGGCAGTAAGGGACAGAAAAGAGGAGGCTATTGTTACAAGATTAAGGGTGGGACACAGCCAGTTCAATAATACTTTAAATGTGATAGGAAAGCATCTGACAGGAAAGTGTGATTTTTGCCAGGAAACAGAGACAGTGGAGCTTGTATTGATACAGTGTGTGCAGTATGAGAGGGAAAGAGACAGGCTGAGATTTAGTATGAGGGAGAATGGGATACAGCAAATTAGTTTAAAGAGTATATTGAGTAGAACGTCATTAGATACAGTCTCAAATATTTTGTTATATTTTTTAAGAGAAACGGGGCTGGCAGTTAGGATTTAGTTATTTTTTTCTCTCTCTGGCCCACACTCCAGTACAGTAGGTGGTAATGTTGGCTGCCATCTGTCGATAAACCCCACCAAAGAAGAAGAAGACAACGAAGAAGAACGTTGTGTGGATTTTAATAATTTGAACCGGACTTTACGGAAACTGGTACATCATTTGAGATAGATTCCTGCCGTTGAGGTTGCATTCCATCGCCTACAATCTCTTATCAAAAAGTTTGCTTAGCAGTATAATTAGTGTTGAGATCCAAACGGATATTTCTTTACACCTCATGATTTTGTAGCCTCTACTTGTGAGAGGGAGTAAAACGTTACTCACGCTGGCATAATTTCCAGAGGGTGGATCGAAGAAGAATAAGAACATTCACCCAGGGTTGGAGAGCCTCATAAATGGCGTCCATTGAGAAGGCAGGAACGAGATGTATGTTAGAAGTGCAGTATTATAATAAGGAGACGTATACTTGGAATACGGAGGAGGGATGGAGGGAAAGGGAGAGACGGAGGAGGTCTAAGAGAGAGGGCGAGGAAGATTGTGAGCTTGAGTCGGTTAAAAATGGTGGGGAAAAAGAAGAATGTTAGAAAATGTAAGCAGAGTGAGCTGAACACAGGAGGAGAAATGGAAGTGAATGAGGGTGAAGTATCAGAGGTGGTAGGTGTGGTGAAGTACTCGGAGCCCGAGGCTTGCAACGATGGTCAGGAAAAAGATGAGTCTGTGACAGTAGGAGTGAAGTTTTTGGAAAAAGTGGACCCTTGCCTTTTGGCTGATCCTTTGTGGTTTCAGGGTGGGTGAAAAAATAGTTGGGTATAGTGGAATCGGTGAGGGTAACAAGAAGTGGTCTAGTGATAATTGTTTGTGTTTCTGCTGGTCAGAGGGAGAAGGCGCTCGGAGTTAAACAAATGGGGGCAAGAAATGTGAATTGTTTTGCTCTCAAGAAAAGGGCGCCATTGAAAGGAGTGATTACTGGTGTAGCAGTAAATGTAAAAGTTGACCAACTGAAGGGGAAGATTCCCGGTGTTTGAGATGCTCGTGGTTTGGTGAGACGTAAACAGGGTGGCGAGAGTGGGAAACAGAAGAGTCATTGTCTGTTCTTTTGAGTTTTGAAGTTGAGTCTTTGCCCGAAAAAAGTGAAGTTAGGATATATGTTGTCCTGTATGAGTTTATGTGCCGAATACATTACGATGTTACAAGTGTCAAACTTATGGGCATGTGCAGCAGTGTGTAGGAGGAAGGTTCCAAGGTGTGAGAAGTGTGCAGAAGCTCATGAGACAAAGGAATGTGTAGCTTTGGGGAAAGTAGTGGTATGTGCTAATTGTTGGGGTGCACATGGGGCTGGGGATCAGAAATGTCCTGTGCGAGAGAGGCAGGTTGAGGTTTCCAGGGTAAGAGTAGTGAAGAAGTTGCCATACGCTGAGGCAGTGAAGAAAGTAGAGGGAGATGGGTCAAGGGGGAGGAGTGGTGAGAGTAGTAGATATGTAGCAGTACAGAGGGATAGGCCAAGAAGTTATATATGTTTCAGTGGGATTGGATTTTTTTTACATTTATAGCAATGGTTATTAATTGTACTGCAGGGATGGAACGTAAGTCGGAGAAAATTGAGGTTGTGGTGGCAGCTGCAGAGAGGTATTTGGGTGTGCGAGACTTGACATCAGAAGAGTTACAGGGTGTGCTAAGTGGTGATGTCCCATCCTTTCAGGTTGAGGGCATGAGGTAGGAATAAATCGATTTAAATAGTGGAGTGGAGTAGGGTGGTGTTAATATTTTTTATTTTTTATTTTTAATGTAATTGAATTTGTGAGTGTAGTGTTAGATGGTAGGGTATTTCTTTGTTTTATTTTTCAAGTAAAATATAAGGTAGTTGTACTCCAGTCTAGTAGGTGGCGGTAATGCAACATATTGGATGTCAACCGCCGTTGAACCTCATCGAAGAATAATAAATATTTTTGAACCCACTCTAGCCAATCAGAGCGCAACATGTAGAAGCCCTGCTGCGGTTTAAAATATCTGCGGAAAAATATTTCAGGGAAACGTAGTCTGCAAGCAATGTAGCTAGCTAGCTAGCTAAGGCGATTCAGATTTATATAAAAACAAGAGAATAGCCACATCTTTTTCGACATAGCTATGTATTCAGGTAAATGCTAGACTATAGATTTAGGCATACGGTAATATACATTTGTTATGGTTAGCTAGCTAGGATAATTTTTATTTAGGTGACGTTAGATGTTAGCGAACGTGGGCTAGCCACACGAGAATGATTGCGCCTAGCTGGGTCGATTCTGCTGGGACTGGATAATTGGCAGTGACCTAGCGGTTGCTTTTGGTCGACCTAGCTAGTTACAGGTTAAATGTAGAAGGATTTGGTATGTCAAGTTAGATTGTTTTGAATGAGAAGGGCCTACGCAAAGAATTGTTGTCGATTAAAAGGAAGGGGAAGTGCGAACGTGGGCTACGATGGCTACTTTAGCTGTTATGCTGACGCGTTAGATTGAAGAGGGATAATAGTAACTAAGCATAGACCTGCAAGTTGGCTAAGTTGGCACAGTATGTGTTGAAAGTTTAAGGCACAGTGAAAGTCATTTGTAAAGTGAAAGATGAAGATAATGGAAAGAAATGTGATGCGTCTGGCTGTTGTGCAACACCTTCGTACTGCTTATGGTATAAAGACGAAGAATTGGAATAAAAACAAAACACGCACCAGCTTTAAATTGACAGCTAACCACTCGGTAAGTCTATTATTGTTTTAGCTTGCAAGCTAGATAAACACTAAAATGCTTAACGTTACTCTTCGACAGAATTGTCAAACTTTGATTGTAAAACAGTGCCTGAATTAGTCAGTTGGTTGGCTAAGTAGCTAGCATTAGCTAGCTAAAGTTCCTTGTTTGCGAATCGAGAAACAGGGTTACGGAAGTGGGTTTTGTTCGTAACAGATTAGGATAATTTACGCAGCAGGTTAGGAGAATGGTTAGGGTTAGCGAAAATGCTCTTATAACGAAAATCGCTTCGTAACGAAGTGGTGTGAAAAGAGTGTCCCTTTGAGAACCATTCTGTCTGACTAGCTCATTTGCATTCAGTCAGATCACTTTTGTTAGCCTGTCATTGTAATTCACGTTCATTGTTGGATTAGTCTGTCCGCCAGAATTGTGTTGGGGTTAACGCCACAACAACTAGCTAGTTAAGTGAATTGTTTGTTGTTGCGAATGAATCAAATGATTGATAATAGTAGACACATTTGGGACACATTCATAAAAATGCATACATAATGGCGCAGTAGACAGTGTTTAATTGGGCTTGGTGATGAGACAGTAGTACAAGGCACATGCTCGCCTTTGGCAGGTAGCCTAATTTGATTTAAGGCAATTGGTTTGGTCCATTAAGCTCGTACTTTCTTTCCATGGGGCAGGTCAAAGTTACTGGCAGGAAATGTACAAAGTAAAAGGCACAGGGCTGTCATTATACTGTAGTAGGCTATAGGCTGTTGTTTTTCAAAAGCACAGCGAGGCATATTTTTTCCAGTCTCTCCCTCTAAAATACTTAGAGGAATGTTTGGCGCTTGGCAGGCACAACATAGAGCTAGCTTGTATTTGATCAGGTGATGAGTTACAAACTACTGCCTTGGGCAGTGGAATCCCTAACCGTTGTAAAACAGCTGTCAGGGCCTTCTGCTGAATAGGGACAAATCCCATGTAAAGACTTGAGTGCCCTTTCACAGATATTTCTATGGAGGGAAGTTTGATAGGATACCAAGTTGAAGGTTATTAGTGAGCTTAGGCCTATGTAGGATAATTAAACCAGCCACCATGCAAAGCCTTCCTTATTGAAATCAAACATGAACTTGAAGTGGAAATAATGACATTTGTTTTAACATGTTTTCCAGGTGAAAGTGTTTGGTGTACCGCTGGAGAGCCTTCCGCAGTACAATGTGGAGAATGGGAGTATACCATGGTAAGATAAACACCTGTCTTAGCTAGAACTTCTTTCTAACAAAATGTTTTGTCGTCCTTTATTTGTGTGTATTAGGCCTATTCTCTGTCCTTTTTTTAGGTCTAATGTTTCTCCCATCCCCTTGCTCTCCCAGCTTTCTCATGGATGCGTGCGCAAGTCTGCTGGAGCATTTGGATACAGAGGGCTTGTTCAGAAAGTCTGGCTCCATTGTTCGTCTGAAAGCTCTCCAGGTGAGTGATGGCTGGAGGTTGACCTTGCTATGAATAGGGAGGCCCTGGCTGCTGGAATAGTTAAACAGAAGGCCGTGTTTGTTTTGTCTGTGCAGGTGAAGTTGGATAAGGGTGAGGAGTGCCTGTCCACTGCCCTGCCGTGTGATGTGGCTGGCCTGGTCAAGCAGTTCTTTAGGGAGCTGCCGGATCCTGTCATGCCCACAGAGCTGCATGATGCCTTCCTCAAGGCCCAGCAGCTGCACACAAAGGAGGACAGGACCTATGCCACCCTGCTGCTGTCCTGTGTACTGCCTGACAGGAACATGAGCATTCTACGTTACTTTTTTGGCTTCCTCAACAAAGTCTCTCAAAGGTGTAATTTCACAAGTTTGTCTAGTCATTAAATCGTATAATTTCACACTGTACCATTTCGGACTTGGTCAATAATTATTTCTCAACCTGGTTTTTCTTTTTCTCTCAGGAGTGCTGTGAATAAGATGGACAGCAGTAACCTGTCTGTGATCCTGGCTCCCAACCTCCTGCACACTGGAGATGGGGCAGACAAGATAAATGCCAGCACAGAGAAACGCCTCAAGCAACAGGCAGCCGTGGTCCACTGCCTTATAGAACACGCTTCAGACTTCGGTAGCAGTTCAAGCCTTGTTATTGTAGTGTCATCAATCAACTGGTGATTGAAAGTTAAAAGGGAATGTCCATAGCAAACAGTGTCTAAATGCGTCTCTGTGTGGTAGGTGTGGTACCTCAGCTAATCATGGAGAAGATTCCAGCCATGCTGGGCTGTGAGGCTGGTGTTCTGTCCCCTACTCTAGACGGACTAGAGGACTTGGACACAAACTCGGGGGCCAAGAGAAGATGCAGGCGCAGTTTAGGGGGTAAGATACCCTGGAAAAACTGGGCAGAACATTGCCTGCAGGAATTGATGTATTCTTTCCAGCATTGGGTCGTCTTTGAAATGATATTAAACAATCCAATGTTATAGGCTTATTCTTCCTCCTCAGTAAAGCACCATTGAATTTCAAGATATGGAATGGTTTTTGCATTGCAGATATGGTCAATGGAGCTCTGAATAAGTTAAAAACAAATAGAACACCCACAAATACGCCACAGTCAGACAGATATGGTAGGTACCGAGGTTAGGTTTTGCCTCCTGCCGTCGAATGAGAGCATCAATGCCCCGTAGCTCTGACACATTCATTTAATCCGTCTTCTAACAAGGAATCAGCTGCTTGTCTTTCATAGAAATGCAACTCTTAATTTATATTTGATCTCAGATTTTCAATTGTGCTTATGTAGTGAATGAGTAGCAACACTGTCTTGTCATTTTCCCCAGCTATTTATTGAATGATTTGATGCCTGCCCAAATTGTCTTGCCTACTCTTTGACTGTGTGCTTGTCTTTGGCTTTAATCTTCTCAATCAATGCTAATCAAAAATCTTTGAAATATTTCAGCTGTTCAGTTATGAATAATTTTCAGTGGGAGACTTGGACCTAATAGTAAATTCACTCTTGTGATTTTTCCCAGTCTTTTCCTCTGCAACTCATGTGATAATTACTCCCATCTCCAAGAGAGAAATTCCTTTGGAATCTGGTCATAGTTATGGATTCTCCAACAAACGGCGATCCATCAAAAATGACCTTGCTTTAGAGTTACTGCCTAATGCTCTGTTCGGTGGAAGCTCCACTCCTGGATCAGGTAACTCCCACAAGGACTCACCGCCGTATTTAATTAAAACTGTTATTTATTTTTTACTAAAAAGAGTGTTCATGTGCATTTGTGTGTTGCTCCTGTTTTTCAGGATACCTGGATCCCAGTGCCTCAGAATCCCTCGTTTCCTCCCAGAATGCTTTGTCCTCAGTTGGGAGGTCCAGCAGGCAATCTGCCAGCTCTGCAAGGAGAAAGAGCAAACGACTGAGTCACCGGCATTTTGTCAACAGGTACATACAGTGAGGGGAAAAGGGTATTTGATCCGCTGCTGATTTTGTATGTTTGCCCACTGACAAAGACATGATCAGTCTATAATTTTAATGGTATGTTTATTTGAACAGTGAGAGACAGAATAACAACAACAAAAATCCAGAAAAACACATGTCAAATGTTATAAATTGATTTGATTTTAATGAGGGAAATAAGTATTTGACCCCTCTGCAAAACATGATTTAGTACTTGGTGGCAAAACCCTTGTTGGCAATCACAGAGGTCAGACGTTTCTTGTAGTTGGCCACCAGGTTTGCACACATCTCAGGAGGGATTTTGTTCCACTCCTCTTTGCAGATCTTCTCCAAGTCATTAAGGTTTCAAGGCTGACGTTTGGCAACTCGAACCTTCAGCTCCCTCCACAGATTTTCTATGGGATTAAGGTCTGGAGACTGGCTAGGCCACTCCAGGACCTTAATGTGCTTCTTCTTGAGCCACTCCTTTGTTGCCTTGGCTGTGTGTTTTGGGTCATTGTCATGCTGGAATACCCATCCACGACCCATTTTCAATCCCCTGGCTGAGGGAAGAAGGTTCTCACCCAAGATTTGACGGTACATGGCCCTGTCCATCGTCCCTTTGATGCAGTGAAGTTGTCCTGTCCCCTTAGCAGAAAAACACCCCCAAAGCATAATGTTTCCACCTCCATGTTTGACGGTGGGGATGGTGTTCTTGGGGTCATAGGCAGCATTCCTCCTCCAAACACGGCGAGTTGTGTTGATGCCAAAGAGCTCGATTTTGGTCTCATCTGATCACAACACTTTCACCCAGTTCTCTGAATCATTCAGATGTTCATTGGCAAACTTCAGACGGCCCTGTATATGTGCTTTCTTGCTTGCGGGCGCTGCAGGATTTCAGTCCTTCACGGCGTAGTGTGTTACCAATTGTTTTCTTGGCGACTATGGTCCCAGCTGCCTTGACCATTGACAAGATCCTCCCGTGTAGTTCTGGGCTGATTCTTCACCGTTCTCATGATAATTGCAACTCCACGAGGTGAGATCTTGCATGGAGCCCTAGGCTGAGGGAGATTGACAATTATTTTGTGTTTCTTCCATTTGCGAATAATCACACCAACTGTTGTCACCTTTTCACCAAGCTGCTTGGCGACGGTCTTGTAGCCAATTCCAGCCTTGTGTAGGTCTACAATCTTGTCCCTGACATCCTTGGAGAGCTCTTTGGTCTTGGCCATGGTGGAGAGTTTGGAATCTGATTGATTGATTGCTTCTGTGGACAGGTGTCTTTTATACAGGTAACAAGCTGAGATTAGGAGCACTCCCTTTAAGAGTGTGCTCCTAATCTCAGCTCGTTACCTGTATAAAAGACACCTGTGGGCCAGATATCGTTCTGATTGAGAGGGGGTCAAATACTTATTTCCCTCATTAAAATGGAAATCAATTGATAACATTTTTGATTTTTTTGTTATTCTGTCTCACTGTTCAAATAAACCTACCTTTAAAATTATAGACTGATCATTTATTTGTCAGTGGGCAAACGTACAAAATCAGCAGGGGATCAAATACTTTTTTCCCTTACTGTACATCATGTGGTTTATCGACGGCTATTTCCTGATCCTATGTGGTAATGAAAATGCATCCTGTTCCTGTATTGCTCAAGCAGATGACAACTATGTTCAAGCTGATAACAGTCTCAAACACACCAACCTTTTCCTGTCACTCTTCTCTCTGTTGCATTGGAGGAGAGGCCTTCTCATTAAATGTTTATATTGTATAATATGTATAACTTGACAATGGTTGAAACGGTAGGTTCTTGTCTGTTTTTCAGAGTAGAGTCGGGGAAGGCTGGTTGCTTCTCTCCCAAGGTCACCAAGAAAGAAAACGTTCGCAAGTCCCTGCGCCTTCGCTTCAGCCTGGGAAAGAGCAGCAGAGACCCTGTAAGTGCAGATACCCATGTATGACCTCACACCGATTATCTGCTCCTCAAATGGGAGGAAAAGACTGTTCTCAATCCCAGCCTTGATGAACCCCCCCTTAGCAAATTGACTAATTGTATTAATCAGAATAAATAATCTACATTTATGCATGGGATGCAATTGTAAGGTCCAATTTTGCACAGTAGCACTTTCTAATCTTGCTGTTGATTTTATGGCAATTTGGGCATATGTTTCCTTTCAATAATGCATGCTCAGTTAATAAATTGACCATTTTAGGTTATTGTGAACTTTTACTTTAAATCAAACATTCTTGTTTTCAAGACGGGAATTCCGTTATTTCTGCATGACTGTTATGTAACATTTGATGGAATGTTTATACTGATAAACTAGTGAACCAAGATGTTTATATTCTAGGATATGAAATATTTAATATATTAACCAAATATTATATTGAACTGAACTGTAACTTGGTTTATGTTTAACATGGTTCACTTTATAATGTGCATACTGATGTATATTTGCAATTTAATAAAACAATGTTGACCAACACTCATTTCTTCTGAGTAACTTTTTACCATACACGAAGACCCTTAAATTACGATCCATCAGATTTTCACATAACTAAACAAGGTTTTAGTGTAAGGCAACATTTTATATGCTTGACAAAAAAGTATATGCCTCCATCCCAACAATGTCATTTCTCATTCCATGCTGGCGATTCAGAGAAAGGGTTCAGAGTCCATTGGTTGGCGACTTGCCACTCAAGAGCGCACCACCAGTTTTTGCTTCACCAAAGAAGCCAAATTTAGCCCTGCTGTTTTGCGAAACAAGAGCGCCTCAAAGGGTGAGTCCCTTTTTTAAAACCTAACGTTTTTCATAATGTACTTTCATAATTTGTGCTAAGAGCTAAAGTAATGCATGAAATGGATCAGTGTTTGTTGTCCCTTGAGGGAAGCGATGTCTGCTACTGCCAACTGTGCTCCACAGGCTCCAAGTTCTACAGTAAGTCAGAGGACAACCTGCTAACCCCCCAGTGTGACGGCAGCGCCCTCCGGACGTCCTGGAGTGGGGAGACCCCTGATGAGGGCCACGTCTTCAGCGGAGGCTACTTCACCGACACCCCTATTAACATGTGTCTGAAGAACAACTACTACTCTGAGCCGGCCATCATGGTGGCCAAGCCCCCCATGGTGGCCAGCTTCCCCAAGAAGCTGTGCTGTGCCTCCAGAGCTGAGAGCCTGGAGAGTGAGGGCTCGTTCAGCCAGACCCTGACCGGGCCCACCCTGCTCAAGATCAAAAGAGCCTTCACTGAGTCCGGCAGCGACCTGCAGGGAGTCCTGAGGGACTACAGCTCCCCCTCTGAAGAGGTAAAGGCAACACAGCCTGAGCACACTCAAACAGATTCAACTCCTTCTGAATATTCTACACTCAAAAGTGTGTCACCAAACAAAGAGAGTTCTGGCATGCCAACACCTTGGAGTCATCTGGCTGATGACCAGAACATCACATTTGGTCAGATCGAGTTTGTTCCTCTGTCTCCCTTGTATATAGACAGTGCCCTGTTTGAAGTGGGAGGGTGTGGCAGTCTGTCAGAGAAGGTCTGTGACTGGTCGCTGTGTGCTGGTGACAGGTCTGTGGAGGGAGAGGCAGAGACTGTGGCTGAGCAGGTGAACTGCAGCAGAGTGATTGATGCCCTGGACATCCAGAGCCCTGCTCACTTCACACGCAAGCTCGCTGCTGGGGTCCAGTCCACTCCATATAGAGTTTCAGGGCTGGAGTACTTTCAGGAGCTCAAGACCCCTCTTCCCCCTGTGGGTGCAGTGCCTGTAATGGTACATGATGATGATGATGCTGTGGCATCTCCAGATCCCAGTACCCACCCCCAGAGGCAGGAACAGCAGCAGGTGGAGAAGCCTTCCCCAGGCACCCTGGAGACCCGCAGGCTAAGGGTGGTAGACCACATCCAGCGCTTCAACAAGCTCACCTTGTATTCACCCAAATCGCAGGCCAAAGCAGTCAGGTCCCCCCTCAAGTTCCAGCGTACTCCCGTGCGCCAGTCTATCCGCAGGATCAACTCCTTGCTGGGGGACAGGAGGCCTGTACCGACTAGGATCACCTCCTCCAGCCAGGGAACCCCAATCCCTGTGGGGAAGGCTGTCAGCCTGGAGAGTGGCCTGTCTGCTGGGGCTCAGTGCCAGCCTCACCAGGGCGAGGCAGACAACCAGGGAGGCCCCACACTTGACAAGGTCCGCTCCACAAATACCCGCCCTCCTCCAGTCCCACCTAAGAAGCCAGCCAGCATTGCCCGCAAACCCAGAAATTGCGCTCTGGGTGACGTGACCAACAAGGTACAACCGAAGGCCAAAGGTGACACACCTGTTAAGAAAGGCCCAGGAGGTAAAGGTCAGCCGTCTGTGGTGCAGCAGGTGGCTGAGAAGGATGTGTGTCGCTACAGAGGCTCCCCCAGGAACCCCCTCAACGAGGGCAGACTGCTGTCAGCCACCAAGCCCATAGACCTCTAGTCTAGTAGAACTCACCCTTCACTTCCCCCTTTTACTATAAAGGTCTCCCTATCTGGATATATATACTGTCTCACTGTATGACTTCAAAACATTCCCTCTATTTCTATGTCTTTAGTTGTTTTCAGGGGTTTAATTTATTTGACTTCCTAGATGCTGTTCTCTGAGTGCTTGGGGTGACTGATCTGTTGCATTGCCTTAAAGTGGTTTACTCTGTTGGTAAAAGAGGAGTTTTGCACATGCATGTCCGTGTAAAGGAATGAGTGTATTTTTAAAGGTGTTTGTAGTCTGTTAGACTAGTGTGAAAGCCAAATGGAAACTGTTAAGGGCAATTTTTTACTATTTTAATTTGCATTTGATTAAACATGTGAACTGCCCAAGACACCTTTTGCAGGGAATTTGAGTAAAACCTGTTGAGCAGTATTGATTTAAATCACCTCTGCATTGCTGTCTTACCATTTCAAAACTCTTCCGAAATGTGTAATGCATTACCATGTGAATTTTTGTTAAATAGAAACATCCAAACATTCTAAAAAATTATTGTGTCTTTTAACTAGGGAACAATTCATAATACTGTCTGCCCACATGCTGCTAAGGACATGTTGTTGTTATTATATAGGGCAGGGTCCCCCAAGTTTTCTGAGACATAAAAGTATGTTAAAAACCCCAGGACATCCGCTCCTAAGTTATTTTAATTTTGGAAATCTGTTCCAAAGTATTCCCATGCATAATAGAGAGATGTGATCATGTAAATAATGAAAGCAAGGTTTGAAATTATTGTTTTAGTCAAATGTTATACCTGTTTGGGCTTCTTGCGAGCAATTTATTTGTTATTATGTTCAGGCCCCCTGACCATCCTTCAAGAAAAAATAGTCCCGAGGCTGAATCTAGCTAATCACCTCTGGTACTTGCAACTTACTTCCAGAAGGGGGCGTACTAAAATCACTTGTTGGGTTAGCTGCAATGTACACTGAACAAAAATATCAATGCAACATGCAACAATTTTCAAAGATTTTACTGAGTTACATTCATATAAGGAAATCAGTCAATTGAAATAAATGAATATGACCCTAATCTATGGATTTCACAAAACTGGGAATACAGATATGCATCTGTTGGTCACTGATACCTTTAAAAATATGGGCCTCAGGATCTCGTCATGGTATCGCTGTGCATTCAAATTGCTATTTATAAAATGCAATTGTGTTCATTGTCCGTAGCTTATGCCTGCCCATACCATAACCCCATCGCCACCATGGGGCACTCTGTTCACAATGTTGACGTCAGCAAGCCGCTCACCCACACGACTTTATACACGTGGTCTGCAGTTATGAGGCAAGTTGGACGTACTGCTAAATTCTCTTAAACGATGTTGGAGGTGGCTTATGGCAGAGAAATTAACATTAAATTATCTGGCAACAGCTCTGGTGAACATTCCTGCAGTCACCATGCCAATGCATGCTCCCTCAAAACATGACTGTTGTTTTGTGTGACAAAACTGCACATTTTAGAGTGGCCTTTTATTGTCCCCAGCACAAAGTGCACCTGTGTAACGATCATGCTGTTTAATCAGCTTCTTGATATGCCACACCTGTCAGGTGGATGGATTATCTTGGCAAAGGAGAAATGCTCACTAACAGGATGTAAACAAATTTGTGCACAACATTTGAGAGAAATATGATTTTTGTGCGTATGGAACATTTCTGGGATCTTTTATTTCAGCTCATGAAACATGGGACCAACACTTTACATGTTGCGTTTATGTTTTTGTTCAGTGTAGCAGCACTACTGTATTTCATATGGGATTTATCTGTGATTTATGTGACTGCTTAATCCAGCAGATGGTGGCCTGTCTGTCTTTTTGAGAATGTCCGTGCCACAGGCTGACACTACTTTCACCTACAAGGGAAAAAAAGAGGCTCATGAAGGCATATCACTATTGATCCAAAGGAGTGTAACAGAATTTGGATAACAACATTTGATCAACATGATATCAATAATTCCTCTGTTAAATCAACATTTGTCTGATAACCTCAGGCAAATGACCTTACCACTGCACACCTTTAGCACTGGTAATGGAGTATTCATGAGGTCATCAGTCATTAAACTATAGGAGTTGTTATGGAGGTGTTTAGACCTCGAACATTATAGACAGGGGAGGGGATATGTGGATAGGGCTTGAATACTGCACAGTGGTCATTATCTGGAATAAAAATCCTGGATGTAGTGCATATGATGTCCCTAATGACCTACTACACACATCAGCCATGTGGTAATGGAGTATGGATGATTGTTTTAATATTTGATAAATGTATAATATGACTAATTTAGGCTATTTAATTATTGGTTCATATAAAGGGGAGACCATTTTTCACCAGAGCTTAGATAGCAGTAGGCTATCAATCCATGATGGCGTGTTAAATCTGTTGAAAATAATAATTGCACACAATGCATCCTGACGAGGTCTGTCAACTAATTGAATTGATTCAGCAATAGGAATAACATCCCTTTGCTGGCACCTCAATTAATTGCCTTCACACCACACTCCTGTGCACAACCGTAATGTGCGCTGCATGTCTTTTTGTTTGAAAGCCCTTATATTATCATGGCTTTGCATTATGTTGGCGTTGCTCTGAGGATTGGCCGCCAACCATGTGTTGCGCAGATGAGGCCAGTAGGCCTACAAATAATCAGGATTGACGAGCAACAGAGTGGAAACACACAGGATTATAACTGCAAACATGGCCAAGGCAACAAATCCACACCTTTCAGATCTCAACATAGCCTGTGCAGACCTTCAGCATAGGCGCTGTGCCAGTCATTTGGCGCACGGGTGAGGATATGTATACCTCAGGAAAAACGCTTGACTACAAAATATGAAGTAAAGTTGCATAAAATAATCAAAGGTGTAGAATACTGTGACTGGTTTATCCGATAGAAAAACACATTTGTTTAATTTTTTTATATTCTAAGATGCATAGTTAGCAGTTTATTTGCCAAGGTGAAATATGGATCGTTCGTTGTCCTCAAAAACGTGTAGGCTATAACCTATAGGTCTACTGAAGCCTGAACATGACACACATTGACGCATTGTCTTTGGCCCATAATCAAAAAAGTACGATAGGCTACTTGGAACGCTTCAAATGGTTTTAAGATTATATCAAATATAGAACTCCTGTTTATTAAACGGTCTTAAAAGGTGTAAATGGACGGGAATCAACTGAAGTGAGATAGAGGAGTCTATAGAAGGAAATGTCAGGAATAAAATTGGACTTGTTTGTGGGGCTTGTGTTTTCATTTCGAAACAGTCACTTTTTGCGGTGGGGTATGGCGGGCTTTTCTCTAATAGATATTCAAATTACATGCTCATTTCTCAGCATTTCTTCCAAGCACAAATGTGTCCTTAACAGATCCCAACGCACTAAGCAAGAGCTATTTTTATTGTTATTCTTTATTAGAGAATTTCACAACTTTAGCCTATTTTCTATAAGGCTAAACATACGTCTAATTAAAATCAAACATTATTTCTCTATTTGGCGAGACGGGTGACATAAACACTTGGGTCAGAACATATTGTGGCTTAATTTAACCTAATGTTTCATGGCTTATTCGTTTCATGGCTTATCGTAAATATTAGTAGGCCTAATTTCTAACAATTTGTGTCTTTGGCCAAGTAATGCATCCAAATAAAAAAGATCAATTTTTATTTTGTTGTTTTTCTCCTAATCGAAAACAGGTCACTGAAATTATAATTTCAGGATACAGAACATGATACATTTCGCATTAGCAATACCTAGCCTAAAATGCTGCTATTATGAAGCCTATGGATTGGGGAAGTTTTGAATAATTCAGTAAATACATTTATTCTATTGAAAACTTCATTTAACTGCAATTTCGTTTTGTGGAACAATGCCTATGATATGAAACGTGATCATTTTAATTTAAGTCTACTATTTACATTTGTGGGCTACTTCTCATAAATACAGTGGGGAGAACAAGTATTTGATACAGTGCCGATTTTGCAGGTGTTCCTACTTACAAAGCATGTAGAGGTCTGTAATTTATCATAGGTACACTTCAACTGTGAGAGATGGAATCTAAAAAAAAAATCCAGAAAATCACATTGTATGATTTTTAAGGTATTCATTTGCATTTTATTGCATGACATAAGTATTTGATACAGCAGAAAAGCAGAACTTAATATTTGGTACAGAAACCTTTGTTTGCAATTACAGAGATCATACGTTTCCTGTAGGTCTTGACCAGGTTTGCACACACTGCAGCAGGGATTTTGGCCCACTCCTCCATACAGACCTTCTCCAGATCCTTCAGGTTTCGGGGCTGTCGCTGGGCAATACGGACTTTCAGCTCCCTCCAAAGATTTTCTATTGGGTTCAGGTCTGGAGACTGGCTAGGCCACTCCAGGACCTTGAGATGCTTCTTACGGAGCCACTCCTTAGTTGCCCTGGCTGTGTGTTTCGGGTCGTTGTCATGCTGGAAGACCCATCCACGACCCATCTTCAATGCTCTTACTGAGGGAAGGAGGTTGTTGGCCAAGATCTCGCGATACATGGCCCCATCCATCCTCCCCTCAATACGGTGCAGTCGTCCTGTCCCCTTTGCAGAAAAGCATCCCCAAAGAATGATGTTTCCACCTCCATGCTTCCCGGCTGGGATGGTGTTCTTGGGGTTGTACTCATCCTTCTTCTTCCTCCAAACACAGCGAGTGGAGTTTAGACCAAAAAGCTATATTTTTGTCTCATCAGACCACATGACCTTCTCCCATTCCTCCTCTGGATAATCCAGATGGTCATTGGCAAACTTCAGACGGGCCTGGACATGCGCTGGCTTGAGCAGGGGGATCTTGCGTGCGCTGCAGGATTTTAATCCATGACGGCGTAGTGTGTTATTAATGGTTTTCTTTGAGACTGTGGTCCCAGCTCTCTTCAGGTCATTGACCAGGTCCTGCCTTGTAGTTCTGGGCTGATCCCTCACCTTCCTCATGATCATTGATGCCCCACGAGGTGAGAACTTGCATGGAGCCCCAGACCGAGGGTGATTGACCGTCATCATGAACTTCTTCCATTTTCTAATAATTGCGCCAACAGTTGTTGCCTTCTCACCAAGCTGCTTGCCTATTGTCCTGTAGCCCATCCCAGCCTTGTGCAGGTCTACAATGTTATCCCTGATGTCCTAACACAGCTCTCTGGTCTTGGCCATTGTGGAGAGGTTGGAGTCTGTTTGATTGAGTGTGTGGACAGTTGTCTTTTATACAGGTAACGAGTTCAAACAGGTGCAGTTAATACAGGTAATGAGTGGAGAACAGGAGGGCTTCTTAAAGAAAAACTAACAGGTCTGTGAGAGCCAGAAT